ATTAAAAAATGAATAATGATAATTATTATTATTATTATTATCAAAATTGATTTGTTTAATTAATTTTTCTTTTTTTTCTTTTCAGGACTTGACAAACGAACGTCAGACGGGAGTGGAAAACGGAGCACGTGTGAAACCACGTGTCTACGCATCTGTCTACGTATATGAAAAATAAATTTTTCCCACAGGACTTTTTCCAAAATGTAAGTTTTTTTTAAAAATGATAATGTAATTAAATTATGGGAACCAGAGAAAAAGCTGTTGCGGTTGTTTTTGTTGTTGTTAAAAATTAAGAGTTTCGTTTGAGACGTTTTGTTATTTTCTAATACGTTTATCTTAAGTTTGATTTGGCAATGAAAAATATTTTCGTCTAAGTTTTCCCCCTCCCCCCGCTTTGCTCCTCCGTCTAACTCTCGCCCCCTCCCAAAATGTAAAAGATTTTCTCGTGCCAAAAATTTTATATTTTTTTTATTATTGCTCCACTTTTATTTTGCCAAACTCCCAACTAGGACAAAGGGAAATGAAAAAATTTCAAAGTATTGTGATAAGTTAAGCATTAAGTAATAGTCTATTTACACGTTTCCACCAACCTGATCGTTTAAAGTCCTGAAAAGAAAATTCAAGAAACTAAAAAATTATTTTAAAAAAAAAAAAATTGATTCTCAATTAACGTGTTCCAACAAAAAAAAAAAAAAAGTTTGAGAGAAGTCACAACAAAGAAGAAAAAGAAAAAGAAAAAAAAAAAAAAAAAAAGAAAAAAGAAAAATGACACGGGACTGTGTACCTTTTCAAGTCTAAGGTTTATCCTACGTCGAAGTCATTTCAAAATCGTTTTTTTTTTTTTTAAATAAGAAACAAAAGAAGAAGTAGAAAAAGACTTTTAAAAAAAAAAAAAAGGCGAGAAACGGTCAAATCTCAAAATGGTTGGAAAAAAAAGAAAAAGGAGAGAGATGGATAGATGGAACGGGAGACCGAAGAAACTTTGACTGTGACGATTAATGTCAATGAGAATCATTAAGCTTTCATCGTTTTTTCTAGAACTTTCGATACTTTTTCTTGTTTTTCCGCAAAGCTCAAAGCCCTCGAATTTTCCTCATCGTTTTTTCCGTCGTAGGATACGACGGTGGGAGATTCGGATTTTCCGATCGGTTCGCTTGAGTCAATACCACCGTTCGCCACTCTCGGACATTTCGCTTTGAAACCTTGTATCACGTTCGGACCGTTCGTTTGCTCGGACAAAAGTCGAAAAGTCTTCGACGGAACGACGTCGTAGTCGTTCGAATAGTAATAAAAATTTGGATTGTACCAAGTGTTGTAGTAATTCATGTAATCGTAGTAATAATTATCAGGACAAAAGAAATTGCTGTCGTTCATATTATTAGCAGCAGCAGTAGGAGCAACAGCAGAAGAGTCTGGGAGTTGAGTCATAGCATTGTCAGTTTTGGCAGTCGATTCGGAATGTAGTAAACTGGGACTTTGAATTGATTCATCGTCGAAGCTGGTCGGACTCAAATCGTCTGAATCGATTTCTTCTTGAAGGATTTTCAAAGCTGCGGCGTATAATTTGGCAAGCGGAAGCTTTCTGAACTTTTTACCTATTTTCTGATGCAAGAGACTGTGTACTAATTCTTTTGCGAGTCTGTCGCTCACTATCGGACTCGATGGAGATGCTATGCCCGAACTACTCGACAGACTTTCCAATTCGAAATTTATGCTCGCGTTCGCCAATGGAAGCGTTAAATGTTGTTTTTTGAGTAAAATGTTTTCCGTTTCGCGGTAATCGTTATTATTTGTTTTGTTCGACGAATCGTTTCCTTCTATCGTTTTAACATTATCATTATTATTATTATTCTCAATATTGTCTTCGCTTTTTTCGCATTCTTCCTGTAAGAGTTTGAACAATCGCGAATGAGTCGATGCTCTTTGAAAATTAGACATTTTGCTGAGTTCGCTGTAATCCGATTCCGTGTCAACATCAGTTTCCGAATTCATTTGCTTAATAGACAAATCGGACGTGACGCCGGAATCGTCCTCCGATTCTTCGTGCGATTCTTTTTTGTTCGTAACAACATCATTGACAGAATCTGGGGTATCGCCCATCGAAGTCGCTAATAACGACTTTGACGACCTACTGATTGGAATTGTTACTTTTTCGACTTCTTCGACGGCGGTGACGCCCTTTTGATCGTCGTCATCTTCGTCGACGTCATCATCAACGTCGATTTCCGTTTTTGTCAAATGCGTTTCATCATCTCCTTTACAGTCTTGTTTATCAATTATAAAATCTTCATTTTCATGATTGCTTTCTATTATTTTTTCATTGTCTTCATCATCGGTATCATCGGAAAGTTTCAAAACGGTGTCATCGCTTTCAACGCTACTGCTACTTAAATCATCTTCTGCCAATTCGCAGATGACGGGTTTCGGCAGTGCTTCCTGGTTTTTAGTCGGTGTTTGACCTTTCGGAGAAGGTAAATGAAACGTGAATTCCGTGTGAGTTTCCGAATTAGTTTCTTCGTTTGTTATTTCTCCACTCGGCGTCGAATCGTGATCTATTGACTTGACAGAATTTGATCTGCTTGGAAGAGTGAAAGTGACGGATATTTCGCTACTCTCCGAGTTGTCAGACTCTTCCGATACCTGAATCGGAGGCGTCGATTTCGAAATCGGAGTGTCCCTTTCGACGACGCTATCTCCGACGATTAATGTCGTTATGGATTTCTCTTCGTCCAACCGGTTTATTTTAATTTTCAACGGTAATTTCACCGTGACAGAAGATTCCGCGTCATTTAAATCGTCGTAACCATTATCATTATTATATTTTTCGTTACCCATTTCTTCTCCGCCGTCTAGGGTAGAACAACTTTCAGATTCGCTCAAGAAACTCAAACTTTCCGTTGTGTGCTCTTCTTGCTTACAAATTTCCGAATCGCAATTTTCTGATTCTTCGAATATAATACTCAATTGATGGGAAATGGGTTCTTGAGTTTCCGATTCATCAAAACTTTCCGAGACTGACCTTTCTTCTTCTTCTTCTTCTTCTTCCTCCTCTTCTACTTTAACGACGATTTCACTTTCCGATTTGATTTCATCGCGATGGAAATTACTTAATGATGTTGTTGTCGTCAAACTTTCCGAAGAATAAATGTTAATGTCTGAAACGGATTTCAAAGTTTGCAAAGTTCCCGATTTCTGCAAACGAATTCCTTCTTCTTCTTCTTCGTTATTGTTTTCCTTTTCCGTATCAGTCTCGGATTCGCTGCTTTCGTCATTCTCGATTTTATTTTCCTTCGAAACCACATCTAAATCCTTTTTCAAATTTTCCTTATCGTTTATCTTAATAAAATTCTCAGTTTTTTCCCTGTTCGAATTATCGCGACATAAAAAAGTTTTATTGACTTTAAACGAAGTTTGAGAATCGGGACGATACGGGGAATAGCTAAAGTTTCTACGGTAATTATTATAATATTGAGCAAGTTCGTCCGTGGACGAGTATCCTTGCTCTTCGTTATCGCTAAAATAATTTTGATACCTCGGATTGTGATTTATTGGAGAGGGAGAAGGGGAAACGGGAGTGGGGGAGCGAATGTACGTGTAAGAAGGAGGCGGAAGAGGAGGTAAACCGTAGGCGGCGTGTAAATCGGAAATGTAATTATACATAAAATAAGGATCGGGCGGATGGTACGAAGTCCATAGGTACGGATCATAGGATGACGGAGAAGGATGCCATCGATCATTTAAACCATTAACTGGAGTTTCACGACCGCTCGGCGAACCTGATGTATTCGAAGCTATAATGAAAACGACAGATTGCAAATAATTTATTTCACATAGATCCTTATTATTGGAATATGCAAATAAGATATTGAAAGGCCTTTATATTTATATACATATGTATATTTCGTAAAGCGTGCGAGAAATAATAATAATAATAATAATAAAAATGACATTAAGAATTCGACTACAAAGACTTCGACCCGTAAATTTTTTTGTTGTAAATACTAACCGGAAAATTCTTGGCCTGTCATCGCTTGAAGCATTCTAAAAGAACGAGAGGGTATAGATCCTCCTGTATATTTCCTCGGTTCTTGAACTTGCTGCTCTGACGGAGGAACGTAAGGGCCTTGAGATTGTTCTGCAAGTAAACATAATTATACTATTTAAGCGAGTATAAGTGACTTATTAGGTACACAGCCCTTTATTTATCTTGAATTGGTTTTCGGTATTAGAACAAAACGGTTCAAAAACCTTGTAAGAATTAGTGTCATTCCACTACCTGAACGAGTACCTTGTAATAATTATCATTAAAATCTTTTTTAATAATAGTTTTTATAAAAAAGCCGTTTAGACTTGACTTTTTTTTTGGGGGGGGGGGGTTAGGGTTAAGAAACACGACATTACGAAAAATAATTGAAAAAAAAAAGCAAAAGCTAATTAATGACTACTATTTACACGACGTAGGTACTATGGGTACTTAGGCTAATTAAAAATACAAAAGTTTGTAATGAAATGAGTTAATGACTTAAAAATTATATTAAATATTACCTTTTTGACGTTGACCTCCGACTATAGGTTTATTATAGGTGGCACCATGTAAGGGTGACCTAGGTACTGAAAGAAAATGAAAATTGAAAGCATTTTAAAACATCAAACACGAGTTATTTGCCAAACAAACAAACAAATAATAATAATAATAATATTTGGTAATCGCGTGTTAGTACATGTAATGATGCAATGGGGAAAAAAAAAAAAAAAAATTGTTAAAAGCCCAAGCCGAAGCAACAAGCAACAACAACAACAACAACCACAACCATCACAACCATCACAAGCCTAAAAGCAATGCGTACCCTGCTGCTGCACGTCATCGGCAGTACCCGTCATGCTCTGCAACATTCTGAAAGCTCTACTCGGTATCACAGCTCCGCGGTACCGAGGATCCGATTCTCTGTGAAGGTATTCTTCCTCATCGACTATAAATTATAAAAAAATTAATAATATTAAGTAAGCCCCAGTGCCAAAGCCGTGTCGCCATTTTTTTTCCCCCTTTTTTTTTTTTTTTTTTTTTTGTTGTTGTCAAGTACTTGGTTGGTGAGATTTGAATTATTAGTAAGTTTTTTAACGACCCATTAGCCCTATCACCAAAATAAATTGTATTACATTTACCGCTCTCATCTAACATTTTAAACACCCTAGACGGTATGTAACCCCCTCTATATCTTGGATTCGTGTTTTCATCATTTAATATATCGTTTCCGTGTATTTCGACTAAAAGAAAAAAATTTTTTTTTGTTTTTAGGATGCGTGAGGATAGCGTGTGTGTGATGATAGCGGTGGTCCCCCTTTTCGTTTGTCTATCCCTCGTTTTTTGTTTTACCTTGACTTTTAAATTTGTCCATTAAAGCTCTATCATCATCGCTAAGTTGCATTTTTCTTAATTGACTAACTGGAACGCCGGCGGTATTGTAAGTACCGTATTCGGGTTGTTGCGTTCGTACGGCGTCATTGGTTTGTTGAACGCGATTGGGTTCCCTGACGTATGTTTTCGGTTGAACTGATGCCCATTGTAATTTTTCATCTCTGAGGGGGGGGGGTGGAAAGAGAAAAAAAAATTACTTAAATGAATTAAATGGATTTTTCGAGGAAATATAAAAAAATTTCACCTTTCTTGAGACGGCGAAAATGGCGTTGGCGATTGCGGGGTGTTCGGTTGGAATTTATTTTGTGCGATTCCAGGGGATCTAGGTTGTTGCTGAACAGAACTTCCTTCTATTTGAATCGGTATTATTCTTGTGTTCGACGGTTGTTGTTGTTGTTGGGGTTGTTGTGGTTGTTGATAGGTGGGTTGTTGCCACATGTTTTGCGGTTGTTGAACCGGAGATGGCGATTTAACTTGATTCGTGTACGTTTGCGACGATTGCGCTGCAGATTGTTGCCTAAATTGCGGAGACATTAAAAATGGCGGAGGAGTCGGTTGTGATTGAACATTGGGTGATGCCGGCTTGGAAGAATCCCTACCTTCAACCTGTAAAAAAAAAAAAAAAAATTTGCTGTCGTGCACGAAAAATAAAAATTTGCAAAGGCGCAAGAAAATTTTAAAAATAATGTACCTGAATTGGAATAATTCTAGCCCCGGCTGGTTTCGATAAATCAGATTCACGATTATTCCAAGGAACTGAAGATTGTTGGGGCGTTCTGTAAACTGTCACCCATGGAGCCTGAGGTTTGGTTTCAACGGTGGGAGGAGGTGTCGGAGTATTTGGCTTCTGAAAATTTAACTTTTAAAATTATTAACGAATCCGCTGCGTTGCCATATTTAAAAAATTTTTGATTGAAACAAACCTGATTAGTTGTTGCAACAGGTGGGACGTAAATCGAGCCCAATTGTTTTTGGGGCGTTTGATTAGAGAAATTAGAAGTTGGTGGAGGTTCATTTGGCGGCTCTTTTTTCACAGGTGAAATAAAATTCGGTTTCGATTTGTTTTGAAGTGGTACATAAATATTTTGACCGATTTCTTCCGGTTTGCGCTGTTGCTCTTGAGATTCAGGCAAATGTTTCTCTTCATTTTGTTTCGCGTTTCTATTAAGACCTTCTGAATTATTATTATTATTATTAACAAACGGTTCATACGCTGGTGACTTATTGACTTTTGCGAGCAATTCGTTCGGATCAAAACCTATTTGAGGTCTTCCCATGACAGGAGGTTTAGAAGGAGGAGTTTGAGTGGGTGGATTAAAAGATACCGATGTCGGTGCAGAGTTAGATGACATGGGAGGAGGGGGAGGAGGAGGAGGAGGTACGGATCCGAGAGTAGGCATGGGACTCCCCGGAGACGGTAAAACTTGCGATGGCAATTGAGACTGCATCGCTGAAAAATTTGTGTTACCCGGAGGATTTTCAACGTGAATGTTTTTATTCGTCGTCGGAGCTGGGATTCCAGGTATTTCGTCTGCGCATGCATTTCTAGCAATTCTCCTTTGCATTCTCGGACTCCGTATTTGCGAAAGATCAATACCGCCCGGGGTGTAAGTGAAGGGTTTCTTATCTTTCGTCATCATGGCGTTTTGAATGACCGAAGGCGGTTCCAAAACTTTTTGTGGGATCTATCAAAAAACAAAAAAAAAAAATTTTTTTTAAAACCTTTTCATACGTTCGCGGAAGATAAGTTTACTCAACCTATACCTACTTCGGTTTTTAACCTGCATCCCGATAATACCCCGGGTAACGATGGTGGTGGTGGTGGCGGCGGTTGACCATCTTGAGGTGGAACCATGCTTGTTTGTTGCTTTCTAAAATTTAAAAATAATTTAAATAAATTACGTTGTCGACGATTCGCAACGAATAATGCGCGATATCAAAATAAACAAATTGAAAAAAAAAAAAAAAAAAATTTACTAGTCAGGTTTCCAAAGTCAATAATAATAATAATAATAATAGTTTTTGTACATTGGCATTATTTCCTTTAAGTGAGTCAGAAGGTTTGCGTTATCAAAGTGAAACTACGTGATTAGATTAATATTGACTGACAAAAAAAAAAAAAAAAAAAAAATCTCTCATTGCAAATTGTGAAATCCAATTGTTTTTTAATTCTATTTCCGCATTAATAGCCTCCTCCTCGCCCCCCCCCCCAAAAAAAAAAAAACAAAATGAAATGAAATGGTCCGTTACGCGTTTTAAAAAATCGGATAGTTGGAAATATTTCAGTTGTTAATGACACGAAAAATCCTGTGCGAGATGCGCGTTTTGCCTAGCTTTGTCTATCTCTTTGTCTTTAAAAAAAAAAAAAAATGGGGGGAGGGGATCCAGGAAAATTATGAATCGTGCCAATAACGAAACAACAATTAAAAGGCGAGGCTTTTGAAATTTTCATCGAATTAATAATGATAATAATAATTGCCGGGCAATAATTTTTTTTTTTTTTTGATCCGCGATTGCTGCGTGGATGTTGTTGGAAAGTTTCGCCGTCATTTTATTTTCAACAAACCAAATCCGCCTTTTAGAAGTAATAATAATAAATTAGTGAAATACATTATGGCGATCGTAAACGTTTAACCTTTAACGACAAAGTTAAATAAGGTTACGCTGCTATAATAATAATAATAATAAAAAGAAAAAGCCGTGGCGAAAGAAAAAAATTTTTTTTTTTTTTTCAAAAAAACGAATCGTTACAAGTTTATAAACAAAAATAAAATAAAATATTTCTCCGAAATGAGAATTCGCGGACGGGGGAGAGAGGGAAGGAGGCGGGGGAGAGAGGAAACGATAAGCCGAAACCTGACTGAATCCGCTCCTGATTTTCGCAGAATCTAAAATTAAAATTTTTTCTTCAAAATCGGTTCAAGACACCATTTTAAACGTTTCATGTAGGTCAAAAGTATTAATTTTTTTTTTTTTTTTGTGTTCAAGTGGATCATCATCATCATCATTATCATCATCATTATCATCATCATCATCATCATCATCATCATCATCATTATCATCATTATCATCATCTTATCTTAATCGTTTGCGAATACTCTTCTTGCCAAAGAGTTTGCATTGTCGACATCAACCTTTCTTATGATATACGTTAACCTCATTTCGAATGTGCGCAATTAATTTTTCCTTTGTTTCCCGACAGGCTGATATTCCCCCCTCCTCCTCCTCCTCCCTATCCCTCCCCTTCTCCCCTTTTTAACGTTTTCTATTACATTGTTTGACTTATCATAAATAATTGATTTGTAATAATAACCTTCCATGATTGCAGTCATCGTCGTCCTTTTATTTTTTTCCTTTTTCGGTTTTTTTCTTTTATCGTAATCGAACTTTGATGTGCCTGAAATTTAAAATCAGGAATTCTTTGTTCGATTCCGAAGACCTTCCCCATCACAAACCCCGTTTTTGTCAAATAACCTTCGTATTATATTACGGTAAGGGAATGAGGACGCGACACGTATATTCTAAAATTTTTTATTTATTTTAATGTTAAAAAAATTTCAGGTATGTTTAATGCGACATGACTCGTATCGATGATATCAGGCACAAATGGCAAGGACATCGAATAGAAATCGATGATTGATTAAAAAAGGAAAAAGAAAAATAATTTAAACGATTTAATGTGAGTAAATTTTTACTAATATTTTCTTTTCTAACGAGAGAGAGAGAGAGAGAGAAAGAGTGATGGGGAGGAGGGGGAGGAAAAAGAAACACAAAAGAAAATGTAAGGAGAGAGAGAGAGAGAGAGAGAGAGAGAGAGAGAGAGAGAGAGAGAGAGAGAGGGTGACTATTTTTACAATTTTTAAAATGACACACGAGGAGGAGTAATGCGCGTGTGTCCACCTCCGTGTTTGTTTGTTTTTGGTCTGGACCGCGAGAGAGATTTGAAAAATATTTTTTATTATTTTTAAATGCGAACATTTTAAACGCCGGTGACCTAGAAAACTCGTTTGTCTCTCTCTCTCTCTCTGTCTAACAAACGAACAAACAACGTTTTAGCCTATTTCGACGGTTATGCCCGGTCATCCTGGACCTCACAAGTGATAAATTGACTGACCACCGACAAAAAGACGATGACGATGACGACTTTGGTGTCAGTATTGCGTTTCTTTTCTCTCCTTTTGTTTTCAAGGTTTTCCTTTCTTCCTCTCTTTCTGGTACGCACACTTTCTCTCATCATCGATTATTATTATTATTATTTCTTTGTACGTGCGTGTTTTCGTTCCGCTCGTTTAATTTATTACGCATTCTCCACCGATCAGAAGA